TTAGTAAAAATATAAATATTTATACTAAATTTTCCAACAATCATCACACTGGTGTATAGATGATGAGAACAATCGATGCTTGATATATGAATCAATCTCAACTTTGTTAACTTTAAAAATGATCTTAAATGGTTGATATTGAGTTTTGTATTCTATGCGTGCATATATCAAATTTCTTTTTAATATATACATGCTTTTGTGCTATGTATATACAGTGAGTAATACAACAATTTTTTTATTTGTAACATTGTGTTTATCTTAAGCATCCTCGACATTGTCTTATTTGGTAAAGTGAATGTCATTTTTACTTTCTTTTTCCTTTTATGTTTTCTTATTGTTTAGTGTTATGTATATGTAGCGAGTAATGCCACAACTCGTTATATGAGATGGGGGATCATTTAGACGTGTCGGGATGCAAATATTCAATTACTTAATCCTTTGCAGGTGGAAGCTCTTCCAAACCAAGTAGCGAATTGGGAAATTATATATCATCAAACCATATTTGATGCATAGATGTCGAAGATTATAAATACCTAGATATTTTGTCTTGAGTGAAAAAGAAAAGAAACCATAATTTCTTATTCCAGCTGCCATGGACCATGATTTATTAACTGACCAAGCTTCAACAGTAGCTTCAAAATCCGTGTTTTCTCTTAATCGTATGGTAATATTGGAAGGAAGGTCGTGACTCACCGTGTATTGAATATTGATGAAAGTATATATTTGTTTGAAGGATTACTTGGACGGTGTGGAAAGAATTCAAAACTGTGTTTCGCTTGATCACTTTTACCACCCATCGAGGGGTACATCCACGAAGAAGTTGCACATGGGATATCACCTCCAACGTAACGGAGACATCGATCGAGAATTTTCAAATTAGATAAACTCTGATTTGATGAAGACGACCATTTTATCAACTAAAAACGCTTGTATTTTATTATATTTATTTCTATTCTTTTATTTTGTATTTAAAATTAAAACTAGATATAATTCAAATATTTGTTTGGTTGGAATGAAATTAAATTTAAAAAATATAACAATCCGTATTTCAAATCCAGATATGTCCTCTCGTTACACCATATATCAATCTAATACAAAAATTCAGAACAATCCGCTCCAAAACCGACCTGGATTTAAAAAAGAACCCGGGTCCGGACTAAAATCCGAAAAACGTGCAGCTGTAGTGGACCTAGTGTTCTATGAAAGGGGGCGAGGCTCAGGCTCTCAATAACTTTAGCATCGACCATCAATTTTATATCTAAAACTTGGGTTCAGTTTTTTTCTTTTTGGGCCCTCCATGTCAACAACACAAAAGCAATCAAACAGCACCCGTTTTCTAGCCAGGTGTAGGGCGACTTCTCACTCTAGCGGCTGCTTCTCCGGTTCTCTCGGAGTCTCGACCTCTATCTCCCACCCTCACGGTTGCTTTCTGTCTCTTGACTGCCTCTCCCTGTCTCTCCGCTGAGCTACTCGAACCTAATCTTTTCTTGGTAATTCTAAGCTATAATTGAATGTGATTATGAAATTAAGTTCTTGATTGTTTAATTTAAAGCTATACTATGTGATTTTGTAATATGAGATTGTAATTTACCAATTAAGTTATTTAATCTGTGAATTCTTTGAACTTTGGTTATGTGATAATTTGAAGCACGTTATGAGTTATGTGGTTTTGTTAAAATTGTGATTTTGGCTAGATGTAGTATCCTCATATTCTTCAATTAATTGAGGTGATCTCCTGTCTTTTTCTCATTCTCAAACTTCGGTTTTAGCATATAAGTGAACGTCTTTTTTTAAATTGGAATGGAAACTTGGCATAGTGCCCCTATGGGAATTCCCTAGTTAATTCAGGTTCGGCAGTAGCATTCTTGTTGGGATTTTTTCCATCCCTAACTATAAGGATGTCATACTTCATCTTAGAATTTTATTGAAATCAAACAAGTCAAAGTTAACTAGGTTTGATTTACAACCTTATAAAATATGTTGCTAATGTAATTTTAACATCTGGCCATAATTAATCATGAAAAGTTGATGTAGATATCGAGATATATCTCATGTCCTTAGGAACTGAATTGTAGTTTTTCAAAGTTCAGGCGCTAGAGCAATATCATTTCTCAATTTCTATACATTTACACCTAAATTGAGTTTTGTGTAAATTTTTCGTAGAGGAAAGCAGCAAGAGCTCTGTTGCCTCAATGGAAATGGAGGAAAGACACATTCAATCTAAAATTTCCCCAAAACGGATAAAGCTTCAAGACATGATGCAGAATGGGGAAGAAGATCGAATCAGCATAATGCCAGATTGTTTGGTTCTCAAAATCCTGTCTCGTTTACCCTCCACAAATGATGCCATAAGAACAGGTACACTTTCCAGACGATGGAAAGATTTGTGGACTTTGGTTCCCACTCTAATTTTCCATCATAATGATGAAAAGCATGAGTGGTCCGATTTCGTTTCCTTGGTCGACAAAGCCCTTACTCAGTGTCGCCAATTGAAGCTCAAGAAATTCGAAGTGGATACCAAATATAATAATCGTTATGGATCTCAAGTCAACAATTGGATTCGTTATGCAATAAAATGTAACGTTGAAGAGCTTATTTTAACGTTATCGAGTATGGAAACTCAGTTTTTTTTAGATCAAGCTTTTTTCGACAACAAATGTTTTACTGATTTAAGAATATCAGGCATCATATTTAATCCAATTGCGGCGATTAGTTGGAAAAACCTTAGGAGTTTAAGTATTTCCTGTTGGAATTTAGATGAAGATTTGATTGAAAATATATTAACTGGGAGTCCTGTATTGGAAACTTTGGTATTGGATTATTGCCATGGTTATAGGCGGCTTGATATTACTTCAAAAAGCGTTAAGAACTTGGTGTTGAATTATTGCTTTGGTTGTAGGCCGCACAATATTGTTGAAATCAAAGCTCCTAATATTTTATCACTAACAATCCTTGGTCATCTATGGTTGTGGAAGCTTTTGTTGGTAAATGTGTCTTCTTTAGTTGAAGCTAACTTAGATTATACAAGGGAGAAGGCAACGCCTATAGAAGCCGAAGAAGAGACGCTTGAAGGATTTATAATGAATCTTTGCCATGTCAAGGAGCTCAAAATTGGGGTTTTATGTTCTAAGGTAAATTTCTCTTCCTTTGACAATTTGTATATCTTTGTAAAAATCATATGTTTATTAGCTTTAGCTAGGTTTAAAAAAGTGTCGCTTGGCAGCGCTTAGATTGCAACTGAATGGGGCTTTCTGCTCACTTTTCCTTAAGTGCTTAAACACGCCTAGGGAATGTTGGGATATTAGTTTTGTTGGGCCAGGTTTAGTTAAGGCTTGATTAAGAAATCATAGGTTTTTTTAACCCGTTTAATTAAGTAAGAGTCACACGACTCGGAAGCGATAAATTCTACTCTCCTTTCACCATTGAAGCAGTTTGAATGTATGTTAAAACATTATGTTGCATGTTTTAACATTTAAGTTTTATTGTTGAAATTTGGTAATAATGATACAGTACTGCATGATCAGTTTTAAACTTTAAGTTTTAATGTATGTTAATGTTGCATGATCAGTTTATATATGGCTTTACTTTTCTTAGTCACGTACGTTGTATGTTGCTGAATTTATGTTAAGTAAATTTATATATTTTTTAATATTTTTTTATTTGAATTTTAGGCGCCTAGTGTGCTCTAAGTGAGCGCTTAGCTCTTCGGCTACAAGAAGCCTCCGCGCTTTGAGGCGCCTTAGGCCTTTTAACACCAAAACCTTAGTAGTAGTTTATTGATTATCCTTTGATAAAATTGTTCAACATACTTAACCCGAGTCAAAAATTTATACTTAGAGGATGTTTGAATGTGCGTCCAAAGTCACAACATTGATTGTTCGGTTAAAATGATTATGAATTTCACTGTATATGGTTAAAGAAGCTAAGAAGCTGTAAAATTAAGGAACTGGTTATTGAACTATATGTAGCTTTGATCACCTCATCTTTGTAATGTTTGTAGGTTTTGTCTCGTTTGGTAGCTAAAGGTTTCATTTTACCATCGAATATCAAGTTTTCTTATGCTTTTTGTAACGTGTTGGAGGTCGGTGATGCTTGATCATGGTCCTAAAGGTTATGAGGTTAATTGATCGGTGACACTTTGAGTTTATGTTTAGGTATTTTAGCCATCTCTTTTTCTCTTAGTTTTTGTAAGGTTTGCTTAGTTTGGTTGGGTCTTTTGGGTTACTTTGTTTTTATAGTTCTTCAAACTATTTTTTTTCTTGGTAGAATGATAATTGATTTACAATTTTGGGATTTAGGTAATATTTGTTAATACAAAAATTGGGCATTGATGAGCATTTGCTTACTTTCATTATAGGCAAAATACTGTGTTTTGGTTGATTTATGGATTGATGTACATAATTTGCCTTGAAGTCAAACAAAAGTTGATGTGGGATTTCGGTAAGAGTTATGTTGACGTATCCCATCGGGAATCCGTCAAAGATAACGGAACCGCTAGTTCAACAGATGGATCGGCTAAGGAGCAACGCGTAACTAACGCTGGGCCTTCTCCCTCGCCTTCGAGACCCCATATCCTTTCCTTGGTGCCCAAGCGCCAAGGCTAACGTTGAAGACAAAACAGTACCGAGAGTTCTCCAGAGTAGTGCTCTAGACGCCGCTTCTAAAAGAATCTGCACCAATAGTGAACAACCACCCATGGCACACGATCCTCCAATCAAAAGCCATCAACCCCTACCAAACCTGAAAAGGTAGAAGATACTGTCGAGGATCTGTTCCCCCATACCACAGGTATAAAAGGCACCCTTCTCCCCCAAGAGAAGGGACCAAGATCAAAAACCCTTTAATTCTCTCTTTAAGCTTTCAACCCTCTCTCTCTTAGACTCTCACTGACTTGATCGTCGGAGCCTTGTTCCGGGACAACCTCCCGGACGACGACTGATGGTCTTATCTTCTTTGTTGTCATCCACAAGCTTTTCATTTCCACCCACGGAAAGACGAAGTTAATCCGGTGACATATCACAACAGTTGGCTCCATCCGGGTTTGCACTCGATCCTGCAAAACCCACGAAACAACTCCAGGCACCGGAAATGACGGACAAAGGACTGCCGCAGCAAGAAGGCGACGCCACTAGCCCAGTTCGACCAATGCAGTCCCTCGACGGAAGCGGTCCATCGACACTGGAAGGGCAATCGCTACCACAAACACAGACAACGCCTCCACTCGGCTCCGTGGCGGAGTTCATTGCTAGTTTATGGTGACCGACACCCGCCGCAACGGCACATCCGGCCACAACGACCACCACGACGCCCCAAAGGGCACCGACCACACAATCACAGCTAGCAACTTGCCAGCAGCCATCCACACGGCAGGCAGGGACCTGCACCTGGTGCCCGAGCACTATCATATCCGCTATATAACCAATGCATCTAGGTCACCTGTCTTTCCCGATGGCCGCCATGTCGCACGTCCCGCTATTCGCACAACAACCAGCGTTCAACCCATACTTCTACTACTACCAAGGCATGTACCCTCCAACACACCTGCAAAACAACAACAGTCTAGGCACAGCGGTGCAGGGAACACACTCACACACCACGGGACTAACGGAATCGAGCTCACAAAAAAATCAATCGGCGCATGCATACCCCACACAAGCAATGTATGTGCCGCAAACGCCTGTAACGCCCCAAAATCATGACCTAAATTTTTTCTTTTTAATTAATAAATCGTTAATACATTTCTTTCTCATGAAACCAAGGTAACCAAGAGTTAGCAAAAACATTATCAAATCAGAGTAATTCACAGAATGCGAAAAACATGTGGTGTGTGCTCTGCAATCGTCCCGAGCTTTTTCATTTGAAAACAGAAGCCTCAGATAATCCTTCGAGTAGAAGATTCATCCCTGCAACGGTTAGACTCAGACGAGAGCTGCACAATAGGGTCTAATCAGCCACTCTGAGATTATTTAATCCAACTGCTAACAACTTAGCATATACCCCTAATAACAAGAGATTCCACACACGAATCCCAAATTACTGAAACCACTTCGACTCATCCTACTGCACAACAGGGTCTGACAGCGACTCGAAACACCGGACTTCTACCTGATTGTTGGGCTAAAAGACGCAAAAGCCCACAGCAGCCCCACAGGATTCCTGAAAGAAGATCTCGACTGACGAAAACTGCTCCACCACACCCCGCCATCAAATCCACTTCTCCTGATTCCGAACATGTTATGGTCCCTCCATAGATAGTACCATTCGAAGACACAACATAATGGCTCATCCTGTCATCATACCAAACCCATTCCTTACTCCTGAACCTTGTGATTGATGCCTTTGGAATAATGACACCCCAAATTGATAATACACTGAAAGAAAAACCCTGCACAGAACGTGCGCGATACCTAACTCGAGATTTTACCCAAAACTGATTCGATACCCCACTCATAACCCAACATCTATGAATCTGCACCTGCATTTTACTCCACAACCTTCTGATTACCAACCCCTTTACCTAAACGATAAATAAGTATACCCAAACCATCACCGAGACTTCCACTCTCGCACCTAGTCCAACCACCAAGTTCCCAAGAGTCCAACAACCAGGCTACCCAGCCTAATCCCCTCTGCGTCACACACTAGTTACCCACAGTCCCTACAACTCAAGATCCAAACCCTTGACTCAACAGTCTCTACCAGTTCCAACCTGAATTTTCATAATCACCCGGGCTCGCCCACAGAACCCAAAGACCCTCAACTTAGAATAGAGAATAATTCCCTGACAACCCTGACCGGCATGCCCAAGGCACGAACTGATTCCCCTTCCATGCTCATGACAATCACAAAAATAGTCTACTTTGAACCGATGAATGCTACGATCCTATCGCAACCTAACATTACCTCCATCCAACCATGCTTACCACATATGGCCTCACCACACTCAAACCATCACAAAATCGCACCTCCCAAGCAAAATCATGTAACCCATCAGGAGTTCGGGTCACGCCTACGAATTCACACTACCTACTATGCATAAACAAGGCGATGCCGACCGGTAATTAGGAGTTTCCGGAACTCACACTAACACAACCTAGGCCTAAGCAGCCACTTATTTCTCCCCCACTTGGACTCGACAATGCTCTCTCACCTCTTAAACCTTATGGATCTCCGATCCATTTCCCTTAATTTGTACGAACCGCCCAAATTTTGCACTGAAGAATACAAGCGCCCCCATTGCTAGCGAAACACAATGATCACTCAACTCTGGAAATCCTGAAGAATGTTCTTGTAATCTTAACTAATTGGATGATCCCAATCACTTCCCATGATACCCTTTACCGAAGAAATCCAAGAGCAATTACAGATTTGTTACCATCTTACCATTGCCTAGGAACCGATGAATGCTACGGGCTATCCCGCAGTCTTACAACACTCTCGCTCCAACTGACTACTAGTGAATGCTACAGCTCCCCCGTAGTCTTACAGCACTCTCGCCTCAACTGACTACTAGTGAATGTTATGGCTCCCCCGTAGTCTTACAACACTTTTACCTCACCACAATCGCAGCCCAATGCCTTACCCCTAATCTATCAATTCGAGAACACACAAAATCAAGCACGCACTCGACCGAACACCCAAATTAAACTCAATTCATGACTGGAACCCCAACCTGATTCCCCAAATCATGCAATCAAGCACCAAGAGGAATCGATTCACATGTTGGGAAGTTTATCAAACTCCCAACTCACACATCCCTCAAACCAAATAGCCACTTGGGCTACCTTCCTCCCCGACGGGAATGTGAAACTCATCCTAGTTTCATGACCACTCCTGATCCTGAATACCTGAACGATTCTCTCCCACTTGATTTGGTTATGTTCTCACAGCATATGAGAATTGAAGGATTCCCAACCCTTCTTACCCTTAACAATCTGCTGATAACCAGCGCTTATCAATGCTAGTGTTCCATCATTAACCATCCGAAAAGACTGCACAATCCCTGAAGATCTGCTGAACACTTCCTGAATCCTGACAACACTAATGATCCCAAACACTTAAACTGATACAATATCCAACAATTGCAACCCTCAGAACTGGTACCCAAACCAAAACCTCATCAATGGACCACTTCCCTAGTCGTCCCTAATGGTCAACCAACACGACTAGAAAAACCACTGAATCCTGACGATACTAGAGAATGAACCCGCTGAATCCTGACCATAAACCTTCCACACAATGCCCCTAAAACGATCTCGAATTCCACCCAAAATACGACCCAGCACTTGGATTCTACTATACGAGAAATGACCCTTCAATCATCCTACTAATGAATCTCGGCCTGCAAAAGACATAGAAAAACTCTCGAAGATATAACCCTCAACATCAGAGAATTAGACCAGATATATCGCTTACCCCAACCCATAAAACTCTCTAAGCAACATAAATATTGATAGAAACCGAAGGAAAACAAAGGATACATACCTGCAATATCACCTGCTGACATGGTCAAACCTGCTACGCTTGTGGCAACCTATACTCCTGAAGCGACAAACTTCATCGAATCCAGGAGCTCCACGAGCACGAAACTCTCAGAAAGAAAGGATGCAAGCTCCAATGATTGTCATAACCTCACCATGGAACGCTCCCAAGCGCTCATCCAAGATCTCCAAAAACCCCTCCTTGACCAAACCAAAGATTACATGAGTCTTTAAAACACCACAGCTAATCTCCTAACGAAATAAATTCACGCGTCTGCTCAATACCCTTAACTGAGTCGAAATCAGAACTTAAACCGCCTTCCTGGAAGCTCATCACCCAACCGAAATGCAATCATGCAGAAGATCATAACATACTCAAGAATCCTCTTCCCCGATTCTGCAAGACTTTCCCCGATTCGAGTATGGATCATGTGCTTTCAGTAGTACGGGGCCAATACTACCTTCCAAACTTACCCATACTTTCCTTAAGGGTCATCCTGGATCCTCTAAGTCACCTACTCCATTGATGCACTAATATTTTGCTAAACAACAACACAACACCCGCCGAAGCACTTCTTAGGCTCCCCCTAGGTTCTCGACCTCACCCTGCCATCAGCTGCTGAGGAACTCCTCATAATGCCAGTCATCCACCTCATGAACACTGACATATTCACTTAGTAGCTGACTCCCATCATCCAAGAGTTCCACAAAACACAAAGCAAGCAGCATTCGTGCAATAACACTCCAATCTATAGAACTATGATAGCTCATTCACCCTACACACTACCACTAATGCAAGAAATTCCACCCTTACTGCCGGCTGCCTTACGCATGCAAATTATACACAGAACAGGATCAAATAGACTGTCGATCAATAGACTCTACCCCAGAACCACAACTAGACAAGGAAACAGGAAATAAGGCCAAATCTATTATTCTAGGGCTATAAGATCCTAACCGTATGCAATTTTGAAAGCATACACTTAGCAGTTACTGATACCTATAGATATTCCCATTACAGCAAAGCATTTAATACTCTCAAGACTACCAAGCATCACACATATCAATCCAATCTATCACTGACTAATCAGCTCTAGCATGCAAATCTACCAGCTCATACAATACACATATAAAGGCCTCTCTCCTAACATTCTATCATGCAACAACTAAGCAGATCCTTGGCCCTAACTAGCATGTGATTCACCGATTCATAATCAAATCATAACAAATGACATGTATGGGTATTTCGGGAAAACTTACTTGAGCTCGGCTGATTGCATGCACCACACCCTTCTCTTATATTAGAAAAATCTTTTCTTAAAAATACTTTTCTTTTGAAAACTTTACCAAATCCTCAGTTTGAGTTCAGACGTACTCGAGAGTATGTCTGAATCCCTCAAACCAAGGCTCTGATACCAACTTGTAACGCCCCAAAATCATGACATCAATTTTTTTCTTTTTGATTATAGATCGTTAATACATTTCTTTCTTATGAAACCAAGGTAACCAAGAGTTAGCAAAAACATTATCAAATCAGAGTAATTCACGAATGCGGAAAACATGTGGTGTGTGCCCTGCAATCGTCCCGAGCTCTTTCATTTGAAAACTAGAGGACCTGAAACTTAAACTGAAAATCGTAACCACAAAGCTTAGTGAGTTCCCAAAATACCATAAACATACAACCACAAAATATCATGCAACATACATATAATTGTCATGGGCTCCCCCACATGGTATTTATCCAGAATGCCATGGTCTCCCCCATGGTCTTTTCCTGGAATGCCATGGGCACCCCCATGGTCTGATATCCAACTGCCTCGGGCTACCGCCTGGGTCTTCCATGCTTTTATCACGGAGACAACTACCATACCACATATAATAGAACAAGTATCATACCACATAACACATAATGGGCCGTCATTGGT